CAGTCCTTCCTGGTTGAGAAACTCCTTCGGGACAGGCAAATTCAAGCCGTCTGGAGCACTGAGGCGGCTGTCACATCCATTCTATTAACTTTTGACTAACGAATACATTTCCCACCAGTATAATCCGTGCCTAACGCTGAATTTGTTGGTGTATCTATTTTTTTTCGAATTCATCGCATTTTAGCCTCTCATCAAGAAGATTTATTTGGGCTCCGGGGTTGTATGATTTAATGTTACCCTTCTGCGCTACCGTAGCAACTATTGCACAAATTTACCCGTTTAAAACTCGATACTCACTGCTTTACGAAAAAGTTCACTTCACTTTTATGTCTCACTTATTTGGAAACTTTTGATATCCCACTCGGAATATGTCCGATCTGTCATTACAGAATTGAGGTTAGTTAAGGAACAACTTGAAAGACTTCTTAGGGTCAAACTATACCCATTCTTAGACGAGAAAGTAAAAGATGACAGGATATCCTGATGTAACAATTTAGGCACTCTTACCTGTTACATTAAGCCATTTAGGCATCCATACTCATTTCATTAATGGCCATCGAACCAAAGCACAGTAATCTGCTATTTTTGTACATCTTGTACTAATGGGGGCAAAACCAAACTATAGTCTATTGCATCACTTCTTTCGAGTTATCCAAGAGTGACTCATGTATTTATCCAAAATCTTTTTGAAGCCTACTCAAGCAAAATCCAACAAATAGTATTTTCGTTGCCTCCTGCTGTTATATTTGGCAGGAAAATCCCATTTTCTCCGATACAATAATGGGTGAATCGAAATTGAACATAGAAAACGCATTTTTAAGTCGCTACTTAAACACAAAATAAGTAGTGCATTACCAGCAAAGTATCGTAGGCACCCCAAATGTCAGTCGTTTTGAAAATTGTTGGAATTAGACTCCCTTTGAAACGACTTGGAGGAACGTAATCCTCATAACCTGGAAAACATGTTCATTTCATTTATAGAATTCGTGCCTCCTCCCTTAGCGCCTTTCAATGGTTCCAACGGTTGATTAAACTTTCGATTTCTTGTGGGCTTTTAAGTTCATCCCTCAATTCTATTCTTCTTTCTCGATCAATTCTTCTCTTTCTTCGAATCATGCAACTACTCGTTTTCCGATTTTTTTTACCTTTGAGTAAACCTGTTCCTCATCTTAATTAAAACCCGTTCTCTTCCTCTGAGATCATAACTTTTGCCCATTTACTGCCTCCAAATTGTTTTTCTTTGTCTGGCTGTGTCGTTTTTCGCTACTCAGACTCCCTCTTACTTCAAAGTCTTTTCATTTTCATTAGCTGCGGCCAACCGGTTGAACGTGGGCTTGGTTGACGGCCTCTCGTCTCCATATATGCCCCAGGTTCCATCCGGATTCTACAAAAACCCTGAAAATCAGCCCTCCCATCAAATGGAACCACGGCGGCAGCATCATCAACAACAACAACAACAACAGCAGCAGCAGCAGCAATTACAGCGACAACAACAACAGCAGTCTCATCATCGTCAAAAACAACAATTTGTATACACAAACCCTCAGGCCTACCGTTTTGCCTCTGAACCAGGTACAGCACCGGTTTTCCCCCCAGATTTTCGCCTTCACCCATCGTCCAGACGTTCGGGGCCAGAGTTCCTTGCCCCTGAGGGACCGGACGGCCGCTCTTCTGTGCACGGCCTCAGGCCAGACAGGAGTGTTAATGGTTTGGAAGGACACTTAAACCGTGATTCGGCAGCTTCGTACGGCCTCGTACGTGATTTGCCCATCCTCCCGAGCCGTTTTGCCCGGTCGGAGCCGTGCCTTGAGCCCGGACCATATCTCCCAAGACCCGGCTATGTTGAGGAGCAGTCGGTCGGCAACCTGTCAAATCTACCACTGTCACTTAGGCAACCATCGCCGGAACTCCGGCTGCAGGAGCAGTACGTTCAAGGGTTCGATTTCTCTAGTCAGGCCACTCTGTTGCCAGGTGGGTTCAACCGGTGGATGCTAGTAAAATCCTATTAGTTTAAAGGGTATTGTATTAATTCCTTATTTTGAGCGGTCATCACATACTTATTGCACTCTTATATCTGTTTTATTATAATTAATTTTTATGTAAATTTTCGAGATTACCAGTAGATCATTTATATGTGTTGCATATTAACCATATTTCATTTATGATTATAAGGGGAGTGGTAGTTGAATTTTTCGTTATCAACTAGGTTTTCGAGGCTAGCGGTAAATCAGATATATGTGACTTGTTCACCCTATTTTGTTTAAGATCATAAGGACTGGTTGTTGAATTTTCACACAATGATATGAGTACAGTTGACGTTTCCATTGAATTTCACATAGCCTTGCTTTGAAAAAGGCTGTTATCATCCAGAGTGGACAGTAGTTTCGACCTCGCAAGATCGTACCAACAACCCCAGTGAGAGTTGAACCATGACAGTGCAGCGTTTAATCTCGAAACTACGCTACTTTGCCACGAATTCCCTTGGGTTACAGGGCGGATATGAATTTCAAGGAAAGTAAGGCATTTTTCATTTGGGATTGTGGATGAAACAAACTTATATTTGCCATAGCAATCGATAACATTAATTTTTTTCAGTGAGTAGGTTTTTGGGGCTACCATTCAATGAGATATATGGATTGTGTTCAACCTCATGGTTCCCGCTAGGGTGTTGATAGACCTAGGCGAGGTTAAAACTGCAGTCCACCTAAGTCTTGATGAGAACAACTTTTGGGCAAGCAAGGCTATCTGAAATTCAATGAGAACATTAGCTCTACTCATATAATTGTAGAAAAATTTAACTACAAGTTCTTCATCACCTTAAGCGAAATAGGGAGAACGCAACTCATGTAGTTGAATTTTCCAATAATGAAATGAGTAGACCTTGCTTACATGATTATGGGAAAATTCAACTACCAGTCTCCGTATCACTTTAAGCGTAATATGGTTAATACACATCATATGCAATTACTGTATACGCATCTTAGTTTATCATTCAAATCTTCCGATGGCTTAGTCTTGTTTCATAATTAAGCTCTGCTTTTATGGTACTGTTACCATTTCATATTCAAGTTCTTAACGCATTCCTAAAACAACATTAGATAAAATAATCTTATATGAAAATTAGTAAGTTAATTTTCCTTTTTAACTTGTTTGGCCCCGTTTTACTTTCACTATCCTTATTTTACTCGATCTCCTCTTTCGCATTGACGTATTCCCCACCTTATTTCGACTATTCAGCCGCCAACCTTGGCCACAAGCTCAACCGATACCCAGTCGACCGGTACGAACATATCCAGCAAGCAGACCCTTCGCGTCGCAGTATGGAGTCCTCTAGGACGCGTCACGGCCGACTTGGTCCTGCCTCCTCCGAACAGGTCATCTCACAGTCGTTGCGACGCAGAAAACGTGAGTTTGTCCACCTCTTATAGAGTCATCTTGGCCTCAGTGGGCTTGGCATAAGACGTCTCCATTAATATGGGATATCCAAGGTTACTATAATCGGGGATTCAACAATGTGTCTGTAAATGGCGCACGCCTCCGTCTTATGTGCAGATCTGGCTGATTACTGACATTGCACTGGTTCCAGAAAGTGGCGTAAAACTACAGAAGCGTAATACTACTACTTTTGAAGATGAGACTATTCATAGTTGATCGACGGTTCATTGAATCCTAAGCCGAAGGCCTCTCAGACATGCCTTTTGACCAATGCCGTAGCATTAGAATTGTTTCCTCTTAAATTTTGCATTTAGAATACATTTGTCACTTTTATGCATTCTTCTTCTTTGGCTCACTACTTTGCCCATAAACCCAAATAAAACTGGGCTTTTAATAGACCGAAGAAATGTCCTGACGTACAGCTATTCCGTAGAGTTTGTTCAAGTAGCCTTATATATATACGGTTGCGAAGCCTCTCGTTACTGTCTGCCTGGCAGCAGCCATATCCTACTCAGGGCTAGGGTGAGTTTGTGGCTAGTTTCGTCTATTTAGGATTTCTAGGCCGATGCTGGAAGTACTCACTTGAATAAGACGACGTACAAGGTACATTATTCAGCGTCTCCCTGAAGGCAAAATGAGACTACGACCAAAACACATTCAACCCCATTTCAGCCTTAGTATACACGCGATTATTTTGATTTTGAGGCAATAATTGAACAGATTTGTATGCAAATAAACATGACCGTGGACTGAGATTGAAGGATTTCTTCAAGATTGTTTTTTTTCATCCAAATACAGCTTTTATTTCAGCTGCATTGTAAGGTATTGCAAAATGTTACCCATTTGGGAATATTCTATCTTCATCAGTTGAGTGGAATCAGCTTGGTTAACAAATAAAAAAACATGCTTTATAAGATACATTTTCCCCTCTGTAGTCTTATTGACGACCTACACAAAGCTAATCCTACTGACAGAGCTAAGAGACCGTTAGAATCATGAGCAAGATCTGATTCGCGCCTTCAATGTTTGGTTGACTTTAAGGGTGTATTGGGTCTGGCATACCCGAGTCTCACTTTACGGGTTGCCAGGGCAGAGGCAGTATGTTGTCCGAGTTCGCCTATACTTAGTCCTCTTCAAAATATTGTCTCATAAACTCGTGACAGCTCATATTATACCATGCTTAATACAACTTGCAACTTTTTCTTGTCTTGTCTTTGTAATAACATTGTACACTTTTTCTGGTGGCTGTGACGGCCATTAATGTTGCTAAGCCTCAATCACATACCCGATTATCGCGCCTACAGTCTTGCCTGGTAGAAGAGAGTGAGAATAAGTAGCTATGCTTAAGCCCAAAAATTGGGATTAGCTGCAAAGAGCTCTGCACAAATCCTGTGAGGAAGGGAAAATACTGGTTGTCACACGAAATTAGTCGTCTTGGTCCAAGTATCCTAGTATTTAGAGATCGTTGGAATCATCATCATCACCGCCACTGGCAATCTGCCAACGGCAAAACCTCTTCCCACACAAAAGTTAACAACGCAAACAGCACGAGCGACAAAAACTCTTCTAAGCCTCAGTCATGAGGGTTTGCCTATTTACTCTGGTGTTTGTGTTCATTTGTATTCAGTGTAGGTGTGTTTCGAAACCGATAATGGAGCTTTTCCCACAATGATATATCACTTGGTCTCTTGGTGCGATTGGATTGCCTCCCACAAAGTCTTCCTATTTTGGGCAGAGGTGACTTTCGAGAGGAGCCAGGCATCTCTCAAATCACATTTGCAGTTACAGCAAACATGTATTTTTCATTGCAATCGACTACATTTACGTCCTCCCGTCTGCATATCCGTCGGCATGACTACAATTCTGCTATCAGTCGGTTAGTTAGCAATCTTAAGAAGTCTTAAGACCTGATAGAATTGAGCTAGCCGCAGTCTTTGCTGATTTTAACCTCATCTTCTATC